GTATGCTACTGACATACTTTGTATGTTACTGCTTTAAACAGCCAAACCCTGTCTTGGTAATCACTTTTCAAATCTACCAAGTACAGGCTGCATCTTCAGTAAAGATTTTACCATGACAGAGAGCATTAAAAAACAAACAAAACAAAACAAAACAAAACAAAAGCATGGCCCTATTACAATTACATAGTAAAGGATAAATGAATATAATGAGTAAACCTCAAACCAAAGGCAGTTGACTCAAGATTTACCAGTTACGGGGCAAAAAGCCCCCCAAAACCGAAAGACAAACAAAAAAAAACCAGGCCAAACTTTTCTTCCGACGTAATTTCAAATGTTATTTCAAATGTGCTTTCACACACACATTTTCTGATCTAATGACACTGGAGAGAGATTTTATCTATGAGACTGACAGGCCTAACATCCATATCCAGCCCTTTTCCCTCTCCGGACTCTGTACAGCTTCCACCTTGTCAGCACCAGCTTCTAAACTACGTGTCCCTAGCAGATTCCTCCCTCCGATGCGGCAGAAAAAGCTCCCTCAGCAATACTGTCTTGATCATTCCTCTAAAGGGAAGGAGAAAAGGTGGTGATGTGAGATAGTTCCGAATTAAGGAGCAAAAACGGAGGAGCCGGATAAGAAAACAGTTTGAAAGAGACGCATGGAGTTGCGGTCTCTTTAAATTCCACGCTCACTACCCAGCGGTGGATAAAGAGGGAAGTACACGTGGCTCTAAGCTACCCAGGACCTTGGGTTGATCTGGTGGAGCAGAGGGGCTGCAACCCACGCCCATCGGGCGTTCGGGCCCCCGAGCCGCGGGCGGCGTTCTCCGATCCCCGCGTCTATTCGGAGGTGGTCGCGCGCGCCGGAAGGAGGCCGCGTCTTCTCTGCGGCCTGGGCCCGCCCCGACACTTACTCTTGTTGACGGTCTTAAGAGCGCGCGTGAAGTCACCGTTCTGGCCATAACGGTTCACTTCACTCCAGAGCGCAGGCACCGAAACCCCCCCGCCGCCGCCGCTCGCCATCTTGGAGAAGACGCGGGGAGGGGCGGGACGACCTCTGCCCCGGAAGAGGATTTCGGAGGTGGCCAAGCGGAGGAGGAAGCCGGTGGTTGCTAAGCGGTTTGGAGTCGGAAACGCCCTTCTCCCTGAGTCTGTGTCGGAGATCGTAATCTTAGCGGTGTTCGCTAGAAATTTGCGTGGATAGATAGAATCGATACACCTTACCTGAAACTTGTCTGAAGGAACGAAGTGTCGGACCCTGGGAGGGGGTTGAGAAGGGGTTCACCAGATAGTTCCGGCTCAAAGCAGCCTGCTTTTCTGGGGCTACCGCTGCTGGCGAAGCAGCACCTTCTTCCTACGAGGCGGAGCTGAGTGACGATCTGTGGAAGAGAATAAGAGGTCTATAGGGTGGTAAAGTACCAACTAGAAGCCTTAGGGAGTCCTTTGAAGGAGAGTGGGAGAGAGACGGCTTCTCTTTGCTGCTGGAGAGTACTTCATAGAGGAATTGTATTTGAAAAGGATCTTGAAAGATGATTTAGGAAAACCTGGGGTTGGGTCTGAGTAAAATTCTAGCAGAGAAGCGAATATGAGGAAAGGCACAGAAGAAAAAAGAACCAACAAGTGCAAAGCACGTTTGATGAAACCCTCTTGGCTGCACTGTGAGCTCCAGTTCAGGAACAATCAGCAACAAGGCCAAAGGACGTGTAAGCGGTGAGAATGTCCAGGCTCAGTTCCTGGCTCTCCGACCCTAGATGTCTGACTGTGAGCAAGTTATTTATCAGAGTCCCAGTTTTCCCGACTGTAAAATAGGGAAAATATTATTGTTCTGGGGATAACATAGACTTCATGCATCCTGTCATTTACTGGCACTCAATACAAAGACATAGGAGGTTTAGGGTTTTTGTAAGAGCTTAAATATCAAGATATGTTTGAAGGTCAGAACTGAGTACCTGTTGAGTGCTCTTAAAAAAGACAGGACATTTTATTGAACGCCTCTGCAGACCCAAATATTGTCAAAATCCTACTAACTCCTGCCATTTCCTCTCTCTCTCCCAGCATTCTATTCTTTTTATCCCTCAATATTTCTGTACCTGGTTCCAGATTTTAAAAATTACTTCTTTGACCTTGCAGACTAGACAACATTCCCCATTACTCTCTAATACAGCTCTGTACTTCTGAGCACTCATCGTTTGAAGCCTATCTCTTTATATGGACTATCATTTCCATGAGGTCAGGGACCATATTTACCCTTACTCACCGCAGTATCCCTAGGATCTAGCACACTGCCTGGCACATAGTTGGTACTCAACTTTTTAACATGGATTTTTGCTTATTTCTCCCCTAATCTGAGTTCCTTCAGGGTAGAAGGTATGTCCAACTCATAGTTGTGTCCAGTGGTGCCTGGTACATTTCATGTCTGGTCAATATAGTATAATGTAAAAACAGCACTACTGGTCTAGTGAACTCTATCTCAATACAATCTCTGTGAATTAGTAAAAATCATGGAAAGAGTTGTGGACTTTCATTGACTGTGGAACTGTCACAGATTTTAAGCTAATTATGCCTAGATTTCAGCAGGGCAAGGGAGTTCCAGATGACATCTGATATACCCAAAATTTTGTGTGAATTTTTCTGAGAAAAGTTTTTGTAGCTTTCATCGGATTCTCCAAAGGTGTTTTTATGCAACAGCCCCACCCCACCCAAGGTTAAGAACCACAACCTTAGTGGTGATTCTGTTAACTTCTCATAAGACTGACTTTATAAAAGGATTCAGTTTTAGTTTCTGCATCAGTCTTGATCCCATATACTGTGTAGCTTCCAAAAATTCCTCAGAATTCTGGTATGGATTCCTATAGTTCTATTTATTATGTCATTTTCATCAGGTTTTCTTGCAAACAGGATATAAGTATATGAATTTTATCTGCCCTTTTTTTTAATCTGCCATTTTTGAGACAAGTCTTCCAGAGTGGTCTTTTAAAGCATTTATCTGATGCTGCTCTTCTACCCTCAAGATGAATTCCAAAAGCCTATCATGTAACGTCCTTTATAGTTTGGCCTCTGCTTTCTATCTCCCCAACCCACATAGGTCTTTTGTTACTCACTCCCTAGTCCCCTTGCATGTTATACTCCTCTAACAGTTATATGTGGTTCCATGTTGCTGTACCTATGGGAATTTGCATTTATTCATTCAACAAATACTTACTAAATGTTTCGTATGTCTTGGTGTCTGGCATTATACTGGTTGCTAGGGATACAATTAACAAAAAAAATAAGACAACCCAGTATACTCATGGAATGTATTTTCTAGTTGGGAGAGATAGGCAATAAACAAATATATACTATGTTCAGTGGTAATAAATTCAATGAAAATTAAGGTAAGAGGGATTGAGAATAGAGTGCAAAGAGTATGTTCATTCACAATGTATACTTGTTCTTTCAATTCCTCCCTTCTTTGTGTACTCAGAATCCCTGATCATTTACTCCGTATTAAGACAATGTAGTGTTTTGAAATTGTCTGCCTCCAATACTGCAAGATTCATTGAGGGCAGAAATTGGATCTTGTTCATTGCTGCATCCCCAGGATCTTCTTACACATCACCGGTACTCAAAATCTTATTTTTTTGCACCATTTGTGGATTTAGCCATTTGTGATTTCTGAGAAGCTTCCATGTATAGTTATCTTGTCATTTTATCCACTCTGTGAAGCAGGCAGAAGAAATATTTAGTTGTACCTTACAAATGAGAACTGAAGCTCACAGTAATGTGCCTAAGGAAATCTTTTCATTTCCATTCTACTGCTATTTTCACTGTACCACAATGTTAGATGAACAACTCCATGCCAAGTAATTCGAGGTCATGGGAGTTAAATGCAAAAAGCAACATTAAAACATTTTCACTCCAGCTTCCCAAGAACTGCTGGGCTGAAGATGAACTGTGGATAAGCCACATTATGCTGATTCTCTGCCCCTTTTCCCTGTTTTTTATTTAAAGATTTCATTTATTTGAGAGAGAGAGACAGCGAGAGAGGGAACACAAGCAGGGGGAGTGGGAGAGGGAGAAGCAGGCTTCCCGCTTGAGCAGAGAGCCCGATGCGGGGCTTGATCCCAGAACTCTGGGATCATGACCTGAGCTGAAGGCAGACGCTTAACAACTGAGCCACCTAGGTGCCCCCTTTTTCCCTGTTTAGAAATGAAATCAGCTGAAGGAATATTAAATTCAAGGTGATTTTCATGGTGAATCAGTTCCACTCATACCATCTTCTACAGTCTGCCAAAGGGGATGTTATATAATGTATTCATGTGTCAGAATATACTTCACGTATGTTGACTCATTTAATTCTAACAGGATGAGGGAGGGAGTATTATTAGTCTCATTTTACACTTGAAGGAGAGGCATAAAGAAGAGTAATTTACCAAAGGTCACATCATCCTTCACCTGGACTATAATATAGCTCCTTAACCAATCTCCTTGCTTGTCCACACGATAGCCAGAGAACTTTAAAAACATGTTAAATATGTCATGTCATGACCCTGCTCAAACTTTCCAGTGGTTTTCCTTTTGTACTTTAGCGTGGCCTGTAGGTCCTAAGTGATCTAGTCTTTGCTTACATCATCTTCCATTCTTACCTTTGCTCACCAGAGATCCAGCAATAGTGGCATGTTTGTAGGTCCTCAAAAAGGCAGAGCTGTTTTACTTCCTGCCCCTAGTCTGGGTACTTCCCCACATTTTTGTATGGCTTGCTCTTTTACATCATTGCTCTGCTCTTTGCAAAAACCTTCCTCTTATCCCCAGCACTGTCCTACCACCTTGGTTATTCTTCATATGCACTTATACTTCCCTAACTCTACCTAAGACATCTTTTATGGTTTGTTATCCCCAATAAGATTTTTGTGACAGTGGGAGCCTTGTTTCTGTTTAGTGCTGCTTTCCTATGGCCTAGAATAAAACCAGGCAAAGCATGTTACTTCATGAGTAGATGGATGAATAAAGCTTCACACAACTTATCTTTGTTTTTTATTTGACTACAGTGTTTACATTTCAATGAAGGCTTTAAAGCAACAGCGATTGTAAGCATGCCTTTATGATACAAAGTTAAGTACTGTATTACTTGGACACATTTTTCTTCCTCTTTTTATGTTCACCTACAAGCCCAAAGAAAGTATAATCACCCAAAGATGGCAAACTAGGTAGGTTTGTATAAGGTAATGTAACAGTTAAAATACTTTCAAACAAGTATTTTCTCTAGTATTAATGAAACGACCCTTCTGAGGATATACATACTCAAAAAACTAATAGTGAAAACTAACAGTGGAAATGATAATGACCACTGAAATAAATGGTCAGTCCTATCTACTAGTCTAAATCAGTGTTTGAAATTTCTCATGTACTGCACCAAAGCAGGTGGAATTTTTGCAGGTTGAGATAGAAAAGCTGAAATTGCAGCCAATGACTATTCAGAGGCCACAAAACCAAAGTTTAAAGATGTTAAAATCATATCTTTTTAATTGTTCTTGTGGACTAACATAAGAGAATGAAGCAGTACATAATTTTTACAATTCTCCCATCTCTAGCAGACCGCTAGGCATGGCACATCAAAGCAAAAGGCAACGTGAAGAAATAAAGTGTAAGATTATATTTTCTCCTCTACTGCAGCTTCCAATCCAACAAAGAAAAAGGGATTTGGGAAGGTTTCATGGAGAGAATGAAGATGAAGCTCTAGTAACAGATTTTAATGACAATAGATTTTAATAATTCATTCTAAGAACTGAAAGTACATTGAATGGATAAAGATGTGGTATGTATATACAATGGAATATTACTCAGCCATCAAAAGAATGAATTCTTGCCATTTGTAACAACATGGAGCTAGAGTGTATTATGCTAAGCAAAATCAGTCAGAGAAAGACAAATACCATATGATTTCACTCATGCGGAATTTAAGAAACAAAACAGATGAACATATGGAGGGGTGGGAAAAGGGAAACAAACCATAAGACTCTTAAATGATAGAGAAAAAAACAGGATTGATGGAGGGATGTGGGTGGGGGATGGGCTAGATGGGTGATGGGTATTAAGGAGGGTACTTGTTATGATGTGCACTGGGTGTTGTATTTAAGTAATGAATCACTGAATTCTACTCCTGAAACCAATATTGCATTGTATGTGAACTAACTAGAATTTAAATTAAAACTAAAAAACTTAAAAAAGGAAAAAGAAAAAAAAAAGTACAGATAAGTGAAAGTCAAAAATTATGAGGAAAGCAAGTTCCCTTGATGGGTTGCATCAATGATTCTTAAGCTACAAACCATGACAGGCTTCAAGAGAATGCAAAAACCAATGGAATCTGTTGGTAAATTTTGTGTGCAATTCTCTAGGGAGAGAGTCAAGGGCATTCATATTTTCAAGGGGTCTATGTTGCAAAAGAGATGTTAACAGTTTATGTTGTCAGTCCTTGGACAACTTCAAAATGTTGAGAATGAAGACCTTCTAGATCAGTCCAATAATGTAGAATTTGACCCCCACTTGAGGCTTTTGAACAGAGAATGGGTAAACCGGGTAAATTCAGAACTCTGTAATAAATGAGATGTGAAAATGTAAGAGAGAAATATTAAGGATGAACTAACACTTCTGATTTGGGACACAGAGTACAGCCAGTTAACAGGCTGGATGGCAGATGAAATAAGTTTGGAGCATTCAGACAGACAGGAATATACAGTTCAAACTACAAGTCTACAAACACAGAGCTAAGAGTCAGTAATGCTAGTTTTAGCTGAAGGAGTTACTCCAATGATTACTTGTAAGTAATGGAGAGACTCAATAGAATAAACATCAATACTTAAAGGGAAAGAAGAATATAAGAAAAACATCAGGATTGAGGTTGGAGTATCTTAGTGTCTAGTCAAAGAAAGGAATGGTGAGGACAATCATACCCTGCCCCATGAGATGAGGTAAAAGAAGTGATAAGAGATGCTAGCTTGTTAACAGTTCAGAGGGAGGTGAAAAGGTATAGACAGTGTAAGCCAGTGGCAAAGATCTTACCAAGATTTCATCTGTAGCAGAGATTTTTTTTCCTCACACAGTGTGGGTTTTGTTTTTTTAAGATTTTATTTATTTGTCAGAGAGAGAGAGAGAGAGAGCACAAGCAGGGGGAACAGCAGGCAGAAGGAGAGAAGCAGGCTCCCCGCTAAGTGAGGAGTCTGATGCAGGACTCGATCCCAGGACCCTGGGATCATGACCTGAGCCGAAGGCAGACACTTAACCGACTGAGCCACCCAGACATCCCTGTAGCAGAGACTCTTAACATTTTAATCCTTTGGATAAAAACGATGATTGCCCCCTTTCCATAAAAGTGAACACATACATAAAATTCTACATGGAAGTTTAAGGGGTTCATAGACATTCAGATTAAAGTTTAGTGATCTATAAAAAAGTCCTCAGGTCTGCGTAATGTAACAGTGATTTCCAAACATGGTTTATAGATTGATGATGAACTATAACACCTCTCAGTAACAACTGCTCCTTTAGAGGTGAATCTTACTGGGTACCCTGCCCAGACTTCTATTGTTATAAGAAAGAAACCAGTATGGTTATCAACTAGGAGATTCCAATTTCAGAAAATCATTGTAGGCTGAGGATTCTTAGTTTGGCTAAAACATGTATTATCAGAATTAAAAGAATTTTATGATCCACAGAGGCACTCATTATAACTAACTAAGATAAACTAAATCTTTCATTTGGAATGACAAAGGTGACTCTTTTTTTTTTTTTTCCCATGGGAAATTGCCCTGACATCCATCAGAGAAGTTCTCAGAAAAGTCCCCTTTTTATGGCTTCCACAGTATCCCTTCATCTTATTTCATTTGTCTTCCCTACCCCCAACACCAATCTCAAGTATAAACAAACAAATAAAAGCAAAACAAAACAGCATCTTGGTCTACAGCTGGGGATAAATACACATCTATTTTGAGATACTGACTGCAAATAAAACACCATACCCTTAGGATTTTGTAAAGATCATAATGTAAAAGAGGACTATATTGCTCTTGGCACTCTAAGATACAAGCATTTTAACTTTTTAAAACTTATGGGTTGAGATACAGAAAGTCAAGTAGTAACTTTAGAGCTCTATAACAAGACATTATTAGTATTTAAGAAATATATTTGATTGTTCTCTACCTAATTGGGACCATATAGTAGCTAAGAGATTTTAAAAGTGTCCTTATACTAATTTCACTTCCTCTAAAGAAATGTTAGTATCTCCAGAGTCTACTGATCCATTAATCTAGAGAAGCATTTATTCACTAGTAAATTTTATTTTTTTCTTTGATTGATTTAAAAACTTTTCATCTTGATTTTTTTCTGAAACTAAACAAGAAATGTAGCTTTTCTCAAAAAAAAAAAAAAAAAAGCAATGATGTTTTATAAATTGCCCTCTCGGATTTTCTTGTCAGCCTGCTTCAAGGAAATCCATGTGTTCAATACACTTGCTCGCAGTTTAGCCCATACCAAATGGTTGTTTAATCCAAATATCTGAGCAGCAAACTGAGCTGATCCTTCTGGAGAAAGTATGGTTGAACAGCCAAGACCTATTGGTTCAGAAAAGAAAAGACAATATTAAGCTGTCAATTAATGAAAAGAGCACTTAGTGAACTTTTTTTTTAAAGTAATCTCTACACCTAACTTGGGGCTCAAATTCACGACCCTGAGATCAAGAGTCACGTGCTCTACCAACTGAGCCAGCCAGGGGCCCCTAGTAAACTACTGTATACTCAGAAAAGTCCTGTTAATCACAAATAATAAAAAGCTACTGTATCATCCTTGTCTAAAGTAGAATCTACAGAAGGAGTTCCATCTCTACAACTGGAGTGATAAAGTGATTATTAAGAGATAAGTAATATATCACGAACAGGTATTTTATATACATCTATCACTTTTTTTTTTAGATTTTATTTATTTGACAGAGAGAGCACACATAGAGCAAGGGAAGTAGCAGGCAGAGGGAGAGGGAGAAGCAGGTTCGCCAAGCAGGGAGCCCAAGTAAGGCCTGATTCTAGGACCCTGGGATCATGACCCAAGCCCAACGACTGAGCCACCCAGGCACCCCTATCTATCACTTTTTTCACTGAAGCCATCTTCAAAGAAATTCACCTTTTTCGAAGTTCTTTTCACATAGAGTAAACCTTTAAATCACTGATGAAAGGCAATAGAAATACAACAAGGATCAAGTGGACAGAAGCACCTGTTCTTGGATAAATTTGAGGTATGCACATTTTTTTGACAATTTCCTAGCTGCTACTTTTGTCTTTGCACTTGAACTATTCTAACATCTTTAAGCAGTAAAAAAGCTAAAACCAAAGAATTTTATGAAGTACCAGGTTCTAAGTAAATTCAGTATTAATAAGATCTAAGAAAGTAACCTCCTTGGGGGCCACATGTTTACTCAGGCAGACTTTCTATTATGGGGTGGTACTATTATGTCTGTGTCGCTCGAGTGAAATACTAACTAGCTTACAGATGCAAAAGCTCCATTTCCCCAATATTCTTGGAATTCATCAGGCTCTTTGACTCCTGCTACTTTCGATAAGAAGTATAAATCACAAGGCAAATTTATTTTAGTTTGTATTAATAAATCAATTTATGCAGCTCCATCACTTACTATGTGATATTGGTCAAGGTACTTAATGTTAACTTTAGTGTCCTTATCTATTAAGATGTGAGTATTCAACAAGTTAATATACATGAAGTGCTTGGAGCAGTGCCTGGTGCATAGTAAGTACTCAATGAATGTCAACTGTTAGGAGTAGTAGTAGTCTAGGTACAGGGTTCTACTCTAGTAACTGAAATACCTGTGCCTATACTGCTCAGGATTCCCTTTCTAACATCAGGAAAGCTTAATTAGCAAAAAATTAGGTTATCTAGTGAGCATGCCATAAGAGAAAGTAGTTTTCAGGATTTTACAAAGGCCACTGTAAAACTTTTCCTGAAAAGATTAGCCCCAATTCTAGCGATCAGAATGTACAGATCTTCCAGATTCCCTCTCTCTCCTTGGATAGTACTAGAAAAAAACTGCCAAATTTTTGCTCATCACATTCTCCCTTTTCTAAACTCCACTGATAATACCTATACTATTCCTCTGGCATAAAATGAGTTATACTTTCATTTAAAGCCATAGTAAATGTTTAACTAGAGAAGTTGACACAATCAGATGTCCAGCTAAAGATCTAGTTAAACATGGATTAATCAAAGGTGTATCCCTTAAACTGTATAAAGATAGCATTAAGTAGCTGAATGCTATATTAAAAAGTTTGTTCAATATGGTTACTGACTATAAATCAAATATGCTCAGCTGTAAAAAATATTTTAATTAATGGTATCCTATTTTTTTCTATACTTGAAGAAAGATACCTGCCAAAGCTTTAAAAAAAAAAAAAACAGCAGTAAAGGGAATAAAGAGAACAGTCACAAACGTAAGAACAAAGAGATAACAGCAATAACTTTTTGTCAGCTGAAAAGGAAATGGAGTGGTAACTAACTTAGGTAGACCTAGAAAATTTTATCCTAAACTGGAAGCAGGGAAAGATGAGAAGCAATGTGACCAACGTTAAAAAAAAAACCCATGCAAAGATTGGGGAATTAGTGGCACCTGATACCCTTGAAGGGAGAGGTGGGGGTGAAAATGGGGCTAAAAAAAGAGGACTGGCTTAAAGTCAAGAAGCAGTTAGGCCATCAGATCTCCTGCGCCACTCTATGTACCTGAGCAATTGGCCCTTCTGTACCGTAGCAGAATCATAAATTCTTGTGAAGGTGAAACAGATTGTTAGTCCAGACTTCTGTGGACCAGAGGGTACAAGGCATAGCTGAGACAGGAATGCCACAGTGAAAAAAGAGGGTTAAGTTTACACATGTATTAAGATCACCAGATTCCAGAATGCTGGCAGTCAGGTATATTCCTCCAGGTAGGAGACTGAGACTGGATTGAAAAACTCAATAGAAGGGTTGGAGAAACATTCCAGAGAGTATAGCAATAAGAGAAAGAAAAAACAGAAACCAGAAAGTTCCAAATTTGAATAGTAAATCCAAAAATGAGAAAAGAAAGAAAATGGAGGGAGAAGGAACGTATTAAGTAATTGAAGAAAATTTCCCAGTACTAAATAATCAGAGTTCCAGATTTAAAGAGTCCACTGAAAGCCCAACAAGAAAATAATCATCAAGACACATCTTTGTGAAATTTAAGAAAAATGGATAGAAAAAGATCCTAAAAGTTTCCAGAAAAAAAACAATTCACAAATGACCTAGAATCAGAATGGTAAAAAGGCACTGGAGTTTTCAGTAACTCTGGAAGATAGAAGACAATGAAGTAATGCCTTCAAAAGGCATTTCTGAAGGAAAATAATTTTCAATCTAGAATTCCATTTCTAAATTATTGATTGTGAGGCTATGATGGAAACATTTTCGATATATGAGGTCTCAAAAAGTTTACCATCTGTACCCCTCCCCCAGGAAGTTCACTACGAATGCTCTCCAACAAATTAAGGAGCAAACAAAGAAAGGGGAAGACATGGGACCTAGGTAACAGGACAAAATGCTTGTCAGGATGATGGTAAAGAGAAATCCTAAGATAATGACAGTACAGTAGGCCTAGAGAGAAGCCAGTCCATAGTGGAAGGCTCAAGTACTTAACATATTTGACACATAACACGAGCAGATTTACAATAAAATAAAAAAGACTGGCATTTAACAAGCAATCAACTCTTACTGAAACAATATGGACTCTCAGGACTGGTATATCAGATCATTATCTTGGACTGTGATGAGCTTACCACAATATTGTTATTCTATGAGATTCTGTTCAGCCAATTGATAAAATTTCCTTGTATGTTATTTATTCTGGTCCCTAATTTATAGAGATAAAGTTTCATTTTCTTTACAGAAGTAACAATCACATTTACTTTAAAAAAACTCAAAACCAGGGGGAGGAGCAAGATGGCGGAGGAGTAGGAGACCTAAATTTCGTCTAGTCCCAGGAATTCAGCTAGATAGTTATCAAACCATTCAGAACACCTACAAACTCAACAGGAGATGGAAGAAAAGAATAGCAGAAACTCTCTGAACAGAAAAGCAACCACTTTCTGGAAGGTAGGACGTGAGGAGAAGTGAATCCGAGGCGATATATGGGAAGATAGACGGGGGCGGGGAGCCTCCTCAGCCAGCTACTGGCAAGTGACAGAGCAGCGGAGCACAAAGTCGAAACTTTTAGAAGTCAGCTCTGCTGAGGGACGTTGCTCCAGTGGCTCAGGGGGGGTGGAACCCTCGCTGGGACAGTGTGGTCTCAGGACCCTTAGGGTCACAGAAAGATGGGCGTGCCTGAGTGCGGCAGAGCTCCCAGGTATTGGAGCGGGGAAACCCGCTGCAAAGACGGAGCCGAGGAGTGGGCTCTCAGCTCAGGGCTGCCATAAACTGTGATCTGCGGCACAGTTGGGCCACTGCTCTTCCAGCAGGGACCCAATAAGCGGCAGATCTGGGGAGACTCCCCTTCCTCCCCCAGGAGGAGTGGCATGGGAGCATACCGTACGGATCTGCTGGGTTTGGAGACTCCACATGGGGTCGGGTGCCAGAGATAGAAATGCTCAGTCACAGGCCAGGTGAGCACAGAGTGGCATGGGAGACTGGGGAGATGGGAGTGACCTACTGCTTTTCTCTGGGCGCTCACTGAGGAGTGGGGCCCCAAGCTCTCCGCTCCTCTGGGACCAGAGATTGGCAGGCTGCCATTTTCACCCTCATCCTCCAAAGCCATAGGGAAAGCTTTCAGGGAACAAAAGCTCCCAAGAGCAAACCCGAGCAGATGACTTAGCCCGGCCCCCTGCAAGAGCGGGGCAATTCCGCCTCCGGCAAAGACATTTGGGAACCTAGGCAACAGGCTGCTCCCCCAGAAGATCAGCAAGAACAGCCCACCAAGACCAAGTTTACTGATCACTAAGGACAGCAAAACACAGTGCTAGGGGAATACCGCACATAGAATTCATAGTTTTCCCATGATGTTTAGTCTTTCAAAGTTAATTTTTTAAATTTTCTTTTTTTCTTTTTCTATTTTTTTAGTTGAATTTTTCTTCTTTCCTTTTTCAACCAACATCTTGTCAATTCCTTTTTTAAAAGTCTTTTAAAATTTTTCATTTTTACAGTAATATTCTAGCTCTTCATTGTACTTAACCTTATTTTATATATATATTTTTTTCTTTTGTTAAAATTTTGGGATACAGTTTCTTCTAACGGACCAAAATATACCCTAAATCTAGGGTATGACATTGTCCTAGCCTCCTGCCTATTCACATTCCTTTTTTTTTTTTTTAAGATTTTATTTATTTATTTGACAGAGAGAGAGACAGTGAGAGAGGGAACACAAGCAGAGGGAGTGGGAGAGGGAGAAGCAGGCTTCCCGCTGAGCAGGGAGCCCGATGTAGGGCTCGATCCCAGAACCCTGGGATCATCACCTGAGCTGAAGGCAGACGCTTAACGACTGAGCCACCCAGGCGCCCCTCACATTCCTTTAAAAAAAATTTTTTTTCATTCTTTTTTCAACCAACTTACC